CCTGCCCTTTGCCTGGGAGCTGGGAAGATGAAGAGCTCTCCTGCTGAGCCTGTGCCTTGTTAAATGTCCCTCTGCAGACAGCACCAGAGCAGTTCCCCTCCGAAGAATTTCCAGTCTCTGAGTCCAAAGTCAGCATGGATGTTAATTTCCCTGGAGCCGCTTTTGTTGTGGTATCTTGCAAAGAAAGTCAGTCTGGATTCCGCAAAGAGTAAGTTTTCTCCAGAGGCTGATGGGAGAGAAAAGTACAATGGATTCTGGGGAAATTGACAGAGGAAAAACTCAAAAATTTTCTTTATTGCTTAACTATATTTGGAAATAAATTACAGTTCTTGCATGTTTTAGAAATTAGTCTTTATAAAGAATGACCGCTGAAATGGGGTGGGAATGACTTACGAGTGCCCAGTTCTCACTTTCCTCCTTCGTGACAAAGCACCTGCTGACTCCCTGGTGTGCATGGGGGCTCCCCTCACTCCCCTCCCTCCTCCTCAGCTCCTCTCTGTACAAGGCGCCGTGGGCGCGTGTACTGGTGTACGGGCTCGGCCACAAAGTCAAGCGAAATGGGCAGCTAAACCTCATCGAGGCCGTCTGTTACCCACGGGATGCATCTCCAGCCAACACCGGGCTCACACCTCCACCCACCACCAACCAGTACCCTTCCGTGATCCTGTCCACAGACAAGGTCCACATCAAGCTGGGTAAGTGCCGTAGCTCATGGTGATAAGGACAGCTGGAAGTTTTCACTGGTTTCCTTCTCTTTGACCACGGAAAGAGTTTTGTACCTCGCACCTTGCTCTGTCCCAGTTTCTTTTCAGTAAAGAATAGAACTGCTTGGGGCCCTGCATTGTTGAGGCAGGAAATAAAAAGCTCCCTTTCCTGCCTGGGTAAGGCCTGACAGATGCTGCCCAGGTTACGTGGGGATTCCCTTTCCTTTCTCAGCGTGTGCTGGGACACCTGCGATTTAGGATGACCCCAGCAGAGCAGTCTCGTGTCGGCCTGTAATAATCCCAGCCGCCTTCCATCGAGTTCTCATTAAAACCGGCATCTCTTGGATGTAATGTGGCTCCCTGGGGCATGGGCCTCCATGAGCATCGATCCCCATCTAAGTGGTAATAGTCCGGTGACGAGGCTGGAAGGCCTGGTTGGTCTCGTCTTCCTGGCATCTTTTGTTAAGCCTCCCTGGAGCTCTCCATCTCTGTAAATCTTGAAGCTGTCACTGACCATGTGCGTTTTGTACCGCGGCCCGCTGACTGTGTCTGAGGCAAGGATAACCTAGGCTTAGAGTTCCATGGCACTTGCTTGGTGTGTTTGACAAGAAAAGACTGACGCTGTCTGGCTTGCTAGAGACAGTTATAAGATATTTTTGAACCTTCAGTCCCCAAAATGAGCCTTAGCTTCTCTGCAGCCCCAGTCCTGGCGCTATTCCATCTGCAGGGAATGAAATGAAAGGCCGTTTCTCAAGTGATTTGGTCATTGCTAAGTAACTTTATAGTCCGTTTATTAGTCTGTTTTTTCATAGTATTTTGCCTACACTAGCTGTTTTTACAACTTTTTAATTAAACACAGAGGATCTCTGCCTTGCCTATTATGCCCAAATAAACCTTCCCATGTAAACATCACCCCAAAGTGCAGGCCCGTCAACATGGTCCTCCTGACTCAGCCAGGACCCGATTCCCCGCTTACGTCTGACAGTGTGTGCGTAGGGGTGTGTGCCGCGCACATGAGGGCATCAGGCAGCCTTTTCCTCTCACTGTAGGCAGCTTTGGTCCCACTCAGGCCATGGCAAGGACAGGAGATAATAAAAGAGAATCAAAGCCCATGGTCCTGGTAACTCTCTCTCTAAACCTAGTATAAACTTAACGCTCTTATGGGATTGCAGCTACACAAAGGGCTGATTCTTTCTGTACCAACCTGGGACCGTTCCAATGAAGCATCTTTTAAAATCTGACTGACTGTTTCCGTGCCGGGCCATCTTCCTGACTGGGGGATGTTGTCCGTCCCGCTTCCCATTGCTGCATTTGTCCTGTTGTCACACAGATAAGTGGGCTCCTTGGAGGGCGGTCCCCCGGCTCCTCCTGCCGTCAGCAGATGAGTGGCCAGGCTTTCTGGCCTGTTTCTCCACAGACACCTGGG